ATCTCACGGCATAGGCTTCAACAACATGGACTGGTTAGCCCGCTCCATACATCTACAACCCTTTGTGTAAAGAAGTTCCAGACTCTCACCCCGAAGGGGTAGGAAGCACCCTCTTTTATTCTCCTCTCAAAGGTTAACGAGGGCTCCCCCCCCCCCAGGGTGTTTGTGGAAAACACGTTCAGCAGGCGGATTGATTCGGAGAGAAGCTTCGGAATCGCAGAGGCTTTTCTCTGCACAGAAGCTGAGAGAAGGTCTCTGAAACACCGAGCGATCGACGCCGAGAGGAGGCCACCGCGGCGTGTTTGGAGGGGGCAGACTTGCGCGTGCAGTCGCTGGGAGCTGTGTTCCAGATGTGTCGGGGGGACGTCTGCACCGCTCAGCTCCCAGGTGTCTGGGGGAGAGTGGGGGCGGGCAGGGGGAGCCGAGCAGACAGGGAGGAGGCTCAGCCCTCCTCAAAATGGAGGCAGGCAGGGTTTGGGAAACACTCCGCCGCCACATGGAGGACCGCTGTGTGTGAGAGAGGGGAGGCGGGGAGCACCGCGAAGGAGACGACGGAGCGACAGAGAGGCACGGGGAGAGGAAGGGGGGCAGCAGGCGGGCTGACAGGGAGCATGTGAGCAGCATCAGAAGCAGCAGGAGTTCGCTCGTGCATTTCAGTCACATGGGAGAGCAGGAGGGAAGATGCAACACCGAATGCAGAGATCTGGGTTGATGTTTTTTTTTTTTTGGTTTCCTGTTTTTAAGTCAGATCTCTGGGTAAAAACAAGGTAGTGGTCAGAAGAATGGCACGACTGCCAGATTTCCAGTCAAAGATTGGTTTGTGCCTTGATCTTCTTCCTCTTGATGTGGTAATAATGTCATAATGAAACGAGGGGCGATTAGCATGCTGGGACCAGAACTTTTACATCGTAAGGGAAGCCTTAATGCCAGGAGAGAGGTATTGTTTTTCAGAATCTCGGATTGTGCAGTGGGTCTGTATTATATCGTTTCAGCGAACGTCTTAGACTTTCTGTCTCCAACGCCAGTTTTATATCCTGTCTGTTGTGGACAGGCTGCAATAGAGATGATAATGACATTACAAAGCTTTTATCTTGTCACACGAATCTCTTAATAGGCGTGCTGTATGTAAGAGGCTATCACCATAACATAACTTTGAAACTAGGAACCACTCAATAAATACATTAGAGCTTTAGAGAGCTCTAGAATTGGTGCGACTGAGAATAGTCTGCTGTCTACGACTGTTATTCGCCTTAATTATCCTGGCAAAAAAAGTCTTTAAAAATGTATAAATGAGCAGGCGTTCCGCCCATGACCCAGGCCTAACTGCATGTGGCTTATTGATCACGCCCTTCCTGGACGGTACCAGATTCTGATGACTTTATTCCCAGCAGCTCTGTGCAGCCAAATGCCTCCTGTGCTCAGTCCTGTGTATAATTTCTCAGTGTGCTCTGGAGCTTTTCTGTTTCTGTCTGCATTTAAAATGCATTTAAAAGCTGGAGCATATGTGATCCAGTCTATTTCCAGGATTTTAGCCACCTTAGTCAAATCTCCTGGGCATTGAAAGGCAAATAATTAGAACATCAGAGCTGAAGAAAGGAAGCCATGAGTCCACCTTGCTCTTATCATGGCAGGTAGCTTAACTGTCCAAGAGCCTTTCAGGGTGTTTCCTGAAGGATTCCACAGAGCCAGCTTCAAGAGTATGGTTCTGGGCTTTTCTCCTGTCATCCCCTACTC